ACTAGGAGAAATTTGATAGAAATTTTACATTATTTTATATTCTTTTCCTTTCGGTATTATGTTTTAGCCAGGTCATTTCCACACCCCAAATATACAAATATTTACATATATCTTCTGGTAGAGCTAGGTTTCTTTTCTTTCTTTTTTCTTTCTTTTTTTTTTTCAGTCATGAATCTTTAATTCTTTTGGAATGTATTTTGATGTGCTGCACTGAGGTTTTTCTCCCCTGATAGTAAATTTGTTTGAACACCATTTGCTGAATCAACTTACTGTTCTTTAACCATTCAGGATACACCTTTCACCTATCTTTCATATTAAACGTAACAAATGTTCAATTCCTGTAGTAAGTTGAGGGGGAAATTTTGGTGCTCAGTGGTAGAATGCCAATTAAACAGTGTAAATCTCAATTTTCCAGGAGAAAATACGCTGGGAGGAAAGTCTATTAAATTTTAACTGTTTTTTCTTCCAGTTAACATTATTATAATAATGTACTCTGCAAGTCAGAAACACTGGACGAAAAGTGGAAGATTTATTAGAGTTTTGTTCTGTTTTTGTTCGCTTCCGGTTGTATTGAGATATAACTGACCTACATCTCTGCATAAGCTTAAGGTATACAGCATAATGCTTTGGCTTATAATCACAAAAATGATTACTGCAATCAAATTTAGGTAACTTTAGAGTTTTGCTAGGTACCACAAATACAAACAACACAAAATGGACTGCTTCTCCAAACGCAGAGCCTGGGGGCCAAAAAACAGTGATCAATATGTGTTACAGCAGAGGATGACGAGGCAGGGTGGGATCCATCTGGGAGGTTAGAGGAAGCATCCCAAAGAAGTCACATTTAAACGAATGACTTCATTCTGAGCAGTTTCCAGAGGCAACCCCTCCTGTGGGTGCCTGTGAAGAGTCCCCCATAGTTGGTTGGCTCTGAACAGGCCTGCTCAGCGAGCTTATCTGTGACTGTCTTTCTGACTCTCTTTCACTTTTGAGCACCAGGACCTCCACACCCCTTCTCCCCAACCAGCGTTCCCTCAGGAAGCCACAGAAGAGGCAAAGGAGGCAGAACGGCATACCAGGTTGTTTCTAATCCGAGCAGATCCACGAAAAGGGGCTTATCAACTTCTGCAACGTAGCAAACGGGCTAAAGTGACAACAAATCTAGTACCAGAGAAGTGTAAAATACAGTCGTCAGGAGTTAAAATGTAACCACGGAAGCAAGAGGTCATCAAGAGAAAAGGAACTTGTGAAAGACTTCACATCTCAAGATGCAAATTCATTTTGTTTGCTTATTGCAGGTACTTAATAGCTTGGTAAAGCACCCTTCTTGCCAGCCTTCTCTTTTTAGTATACCTTCCCACCAGGCTTGGAGGCGGAGATCGTGGAATATGCTGAGGTTCAAGTGTCTACAACACCAGACATTTACTGCTCCCCCAGCCCTAAGGCAGTGTAAACCAGGCCAATTCAGCAGGATGGCAAAATGTTTGCAGCAGTAAACTGATGTCCCCGCTGGCCGCGAAAGTTGTGGTTCCAGTAAAGAACCTCCTTGCTTGATGATTAACGGAGAAATTCTGTATTTCAAACTTCAGTTCTATGTTGAGTCACATCCAATGTAGATTTTCGCCTATGTAGTTTACACTCTAGTGAATTTCAATTATCAGACTAGCCTAAACTCTAGTATTAAAGTGAATATGTTGTTCAATTAGGTATAAATAAACACCCCTGTGCTCACACACACATATGATAATCTATAATAATCGACTTCCCAGCTTAGTACTAAGATAGTCGGTCTCCTTAAAGTGTGTGTTTGATTTACTTTGTCACTTTATCTTAGGGAATAACTAGTTTGAGTCCTCTTTGGCAGACAGTAATTTCTGTTCTGTTTTTACTTAAAATTTTACATAAAAAATATGACAGTTTGCTGGATGTCATTAAAGTAACTTGCAAGGAAAGAAATACAAATTGGTATCTGCTGTGCTGTAAATCCCTATAGAAGCAACCCTTAAAGGACCAATATAGTAAAGCCCTTCACATCAAGTCATTGCAGATTATAAAAATAAGGTATTAAGTGTTAAAACCCCAAAGCAGCCTTTTTTTGGGGTCTGAAGTCATTTATTACTAATTTTGCGTATCTACTTAATTGCTCAGCAAAAAAAAAAGAAAGAAAAAGAAAAATTGGTTTCTTGGTGGCTTGTCAATAGTATTAGACTATTCTAGTTCTTTGTATTACCTTAAAAGCTTCAGTTTAGTAATTTTTCCATCCGTAAACACTTTGGATTTGACATACTTTATAACCTTTATCACTAATTAGAATACAAATACAATAAATACAGGGGCGCCTGGGTGGCTCAGTCAGTTAAGTGTCAGACTTTGGCTCGGGTCATGATCTCACGGTTCACGGATTCGAGCCCCGAATCAAGCTCCGTGCTGGCTCCCTCTCTCTGTCTCTCCCTCTCTCTGTGCCCCTCCCCAGCTCACGCATGTGCACAAGCTCTCTCTTTCTCTCTCAAAATAAATAAAAACTTTTAAAAAAATGAAGACTGATTCTGGGACTAGGTTTTTTGTTTAGTTGTTTTTTTTTTTTTTTTTTTCTTTTTGGGGCTAGGTTTTAGTTGAACTCCATGGTGGAGAACCAGCCACAAGTACGGTAAACTGAAAGTATGGGCAATGTATAATTTCTCCAATTTCAAGATTTCTTTAAGACCCCTCCAACATCAAGCAACACTATCACCATTTCCTGGGTCACCCAGGCTGTAAATGTAGGCACCACCCTCCACATTTCCCTCTTGTTTCAGTCTCTAACTCTTATCCAGTCTTCCCTTGAATTACATCCTTCGTTTCTAAAGTCACCCCATTGCCTCTCCTTTGAAATATAATTTCCTCTTAACTGTTCTCTGATCTCTTATTTTCCCTATTCTGTTGCCAGACCAACCATCAAGACTAAATTTCATTATATCCTGAAACAGAAACCTTTAACAGTTACTCCCTTACTTTATAGGGTAAAGTCTAGCCTCATCCTTTGGTCTTCAGGGCCCTTCCGCAAGCTAAGAACATTTTCAGTGCGCTCTATTTAAGTACATTTGTTCCATATTCTGGTTACGCGTCTCTCCTACCCACCCCCATCTTGTCTCCAAATTTTGCCAGCTTTAAATAGCTCTCCCCTGCCTTCTGGCCTGTCCAGATCTTTCAGGGTTGTTTCAAATCCTCCACGGAGACACAATGCAGCCTATCTATGTTGACTTCCTCCTTTACTGCCTGGGAACATTTTTCTGTGGCCCTCACGCTGGCACTTCATCATATGCATTTTTATCTGAGTATCTATCTCTGTTAATCACATACTCTGGGAAGGCAGGGAACGCATCTTTCCTGAGCATGTGCATGTGACAGGCCTGTGCTAGGTGAGCAAACAATGTGAATAAAGACGTAGTCACTACACTCCAGGGGTTCGTATTCTAGCGTAGGTGACAAGTGACTCCCTGTTTTCAGGGTAGCGTGATGAATGAATGGAGGAGGGGCATCAGGGGAGGCCTCCCTGAGAAGGTAACTCCTCTGCGGATGTTACCCAGGTGTGTACAGAGGGGGCGGGGACTGGCACATCAGGGTAACGGGAAAGACATCTGGGGCGTGGGGGGTACAAGGTGGCATGCGCCATTGAAGGAACTCCTGGTAAATGCATATAACCACTAGAAGTTTTCATGCAGGAACATGGTAGGAGACAAGGCCACAGATCATGAAAGCCTCTGTGTGTTAAGCTCAAGAATTTGAACTGCATCTTGAAGGAAGCAGTTTGGAATCTAAAATGATCACTAAGAACAGAAGTTGGTCTCTTCCCTCAAGGAGCTTATAACCTAGTATAAATACGATCAGCTTAAAGCGGAAGGATATGCTTTCTAAGGCCTCATAACTTAAGTACTAGCAAATATTATGCCTCCTTCATCTTGAAGTGTTAGACTAGATTTGGACAGTACGTGAATGATCTTATGACCTAACTGCCTTCCCTTTTCTTGTTTCTACTATAATCTATCCATAAGTATGAGTGGAAAGCTTGGAATGTGGGGGGTGGGGGTGGGGGGCCGGCTACTGCTGAATCTGCCTGAAATTCTCCAAGTGCAACACTGTGTCTCCTTTTTTAGGGCTTCTCACTAGACAACAGAGGATATTTTATTATCAACAATTATTTGATAAATAATTATCAGCCAGCATTTGCCAAGGCATTTCCTAAGAGACCGCCGAGTGACGCAGCTAACTTATTCCTTCTTCCGAGCCTCTCAGTTCTATCCAGGAAAAGTACATCCCAGAGACAAAGCACCCACCACATGACCTCAATCTTGGCAGGAACGAATTATAGCATCACGTTATCATATTATCGTGTGGTTCTCTATCTTTATAGAAAGTCTTATGTGAACCATCTGCTTGTAAACGATCTGTGTCTTCTGTGAGACCGGAGTTGAAAACACGTCATTGGAAACCTTTTAGCAAGAACTCATACAAACAATTTCTGCCTGAGTTTAATTTCAGGGAAAATTGTGTCAGCGATCTAACGCAAACATTAACACCTTTGCCTAGGTTCAAGTCCATTGTCCAAAACAGAGCTCCGTTTAGCACAGTTACGTGGGGTGATTATGCCCCCACGCACTTTTAGGTGACTCCCCTTGCATTTGTTCATCGAACAGCTCCTCGGATTCTTCCGGCAGTAGATAAGGCAGTATTGAGTAAGTACATTTACTTTTTGGTGGTATCCGATTTTCTGGGAGAAACTCACTTGTCAAGGGCCAATTATCCGCCTCCCCCCCCCCCCCCCGTTACAGTTACTGCTGTTGAAGCACAATCTTGGGCCGGTCTCCCGAAGAATGTGTGTAGGTTTCCCGTGGAGAAATGACCACGGGAACTGAATGACCAAGGCACAAGCTGCCAGTCCAGACGCAGAGTCCCTCTTAGATCCGCCCCCGCCGTGCAACAAATACTGAGAGGACAAGGTCTTCCTCTAGCCTGGAAGCGTGGTGGCGTCGTACTCCCGTTCGACTAAAAATCTCAGGCTTGCCATTTTAAAATGGATCCGTATCGAGGTCATCTCGGGAAAATAAGCGCTGCCCGTCCCTGGGTGGGCTCGAACCACCAACCTTTCGGTTAACAGCCGAACGCGCTAACCGATTGCGCCACAGAGACCCAGCTACCAGGCTCGCCGCGCGGTGTGTACAGATTTCCGCGGCCGCGGAGGCTCTCGCCGCCCAGGGCGTCGCCGCGCGAGCCGGGCGGAGGAGCGCGCGGAGGAGCGCGCGGAGGAGCGCGCGGAGGAGCGCGCGGAGGAGCG